ACTGGACAAGTGCAAACCACTTTGTCCGCCCACCAACTGTCCAGACATTTTTTACAGAAACTGTGGCTGCACGACAGCAACACAGGATCTTTGAAAATCTCAAAACACACCGGACAAATGAGATCGTTGGCGAAGCGATGAGCCATTGTCAATCACAAACCAGAAACCAGTGGGTAAGACAGATAAAAGGACAAAAATTCCCAGTGTCGTCCTGTCAGTCCTCTACGTACCTGCCGCTTCCAAAAGTGTGTGATCCAAATTATAAACAGGGAGGACTTTGATCAGGAGTCTTACATAACAGACCAGCTTTATTGCATGTTAATCTTCATAAAGTTGAAACATCAGCCCTTCCTACAAAGGTGTTTACACGATTCAATTAGAACGTGGTTTTTTTTAAACCTTGTGCAGTTAAAGCAAAAGTAACCTCGTGGGTGGAGGGGGAAAAAAAAAGAAAAATATAAGCATAACTTGTCACATTTTGGTATCAGACAGAACAAGGGATATGCAGGATGAGAGATACTCAATCCAAAGTAGAAGTTTATTAACAACTTAAATGTCCACAATCACTGCGCAGTGGAGACAGGAGCCGTGGAGCTGATGAAACAGCGGAGTCGGCGAGGGCGAGGGTCCACATGGAGCAGGTACAGCGTCTAGGCAAGGGCAATGGCGGAGGACTGGAGAAAGGAGAAACCAACAGAGAGACAAGAACAGAGTTACTAGACAAGAAGGACAAGAGCATGGAGACTGATTAGGTAAACAAGTTACCACTCGTATGTGAAAATGATCTGGCAGCGAATCATCGGTGATCAGGGCTCTTATGGTGTCGCTGCTGATGATTCCAATGCTCCACAGCCGTGTGGACGGGTTCAAGATCTAAGAATGGGAGACCTCTGGGCCTCTGGGTACCCCTCCCAGTCCAGGTACTGCCATCCCCGGGCAGCGGTGTATATCAAGGACCTTGTACGCAGGATTGTCGTTCACCAGCTGGGGGGCTGGGGTGGCCTGACTGGAGGGTACAACGGACTAGATGCCACAGGTTATAGTGGGGAAACATAAAACGTTGGGTGGATATTCAATGACTTAGGTAATTTAAGGCGGACAGCAGAGGGACTGACAACCCTCTCTATCGCGTAAGGGCCAATGAATCTGGGTGCTAACTTACGAGTCTGAAACCGGAGAGGGATGTCCTTAGAGCCAGAACTGTTACTCCGGATGTTAGGACAGGGCCGGAAATGTTTGTCCGGCATTCTCTTTGTCCTGGTGCTGGTCCTGAGGAGCGCTGCCTGGGCTAGTCTCCAGACTCTTCTAAGGCGGCGCATGTTCACTTGAACGTAAGGAACTGCCACCTTCATCTCCTGTTCAGGGAATAGACGGGGTTGTTAGCTAAGGACAACGTGGAGCGGGGACCAGGCGGAGGGATGGCGGCTGGCAACACAACGGAGCGCTGCGCCCAGATCCTGATTGTCCCTCTCAGTTTGTCCATTAGTTTGAGGGTGATACCCTGAGGATAGGAAGGCTGAAGCTCCCAGGGCTAGGCAGAATACTTTCCAAACCTGGGAGGAGAACTGCGGACCCCTGACGGTCATGACATCTTGGGGAATGCCGTGCAGGTGGACAATGTGGAGGATCAGAAGGTCCGCAGTCTCGGTGACCGTCGGGAGCTTAGGGACAAAGTGCACAGCCTTTGAAAAACAATCTATAATGGTCAAAATGCAAGTGTGACCTGAGGATGGGGGCAGGCCTGTAACTAAATCTAGTGCAATATGGGACCAGGGGCACGTCGGCATCTCCAGGGTTTGGAGTAAACCATACGAGGGTTGATGCGATGATTTGCTCCGAGCACACACTGTGCAAGAAGCCAAGTCTTGGGTATCTTGGGCCATGGATGACCACCAGAAGTGACGCATACTGAAGTCCACAGGACGGTGGAACCCAGGGTGACAGGCTGGGTTCAAGGAATGATCCCAACTGGAGAATTCTGGAACAGACATTTTTAGGGATATATAGATGCAACTGGAAGGGAGAATGTTAACAGGAGACTCCTTTACCTGATCCTCCTGAGATTGGACAGGGCGTCTGGCTTGATGTTGCGGGACCTGGGTCTGTAGGTTAGGGTAAAGTTGAATCTGCCAAGAAACAGGGCCCATCGAGCTTGGCGGGAGTTGAGTCTCTTTGCTGCCCTGAGATAGGACAGTTTTTTATGATCAGTCCATATCAAAAAGCGATGCTCCGCCCCTTCTAACCAGTGCCTCCACTCTTCCAATGCCAGCACCACGGCCAACAGCTCCCAGTTTCCAACATTATAATTCCGTTGAACAGGTGTGAGCTGACGAGAGAAGAGGCGCAGGGGTGTAACCTCTGATCCATTGCTGAGCGCTGAGACAAACCAGCTCCAACTTCAGAATTAGATGCGTCCACCATAAACTGACGAGACGGGTCTGGATGAGCAAGAACAGAGGCTTTAGTAAACATATTTTTTAACAAGGTAAAAGCTCTCTCCACTTGAGGAGACCAAACATATGAAATCTTAATCTTCTGTAGATGTTGGCAAATCCTAAAGACCGTGGTAGTTGCTGTAGTAGTCCATGTTGTGGGTGACGGCTAGTTAGCCACTGCCTCGACTCTGGCAGGATCAGCCTTTACCTGCCCCTTCTCAATAATCAGACCCACAAATGAGACGGAGTCGAGGTGAAAGCTGCATTTCTCTGCTTTTACATACAACTTGTTCTCCAGGAGTTGCTGCAAGACTTGTCTGACATGCTGTGTGTGTTTCGATCGGGTCTCTGGAAAATATGAGAATGTCATCCAAGTAAACAAAGACAAATCTTCCAATCATGTCCCTTAACACATCATTCACCAGGCCTGAAAGGTAGCAGGAGCATAAGTTAGCCTAAACGGCACGACCAAATTTTACAATTGACCCAGGGGGGTATTGAAAGCTGTTTTCCATTCATCACCCTCTCGAATCCTCACCAGATGATAAGCGTTGTGAGGATCAAGCTTAGTGAATATGCCAGCCTGATGTAAGGGTTCAAGAGTTGATTTAAGGTAGAGGATACTTGTTTTTGATAGTAATCTCATTCAATTCCCGGTAATCAATACAGGAGCGAAGAGACTGATCCTTCTTTGACATAAAGAAAAACTCTACTCTGAGAGGCGAAGAGAGCGGGGCGGCTTCCCACATGAACCCAGATCTCCAGAGTACCTCTCCAGTGTTGGAATATGGGGCTCCCTGGGGGAGAGTGAGGCGCCACTCACTGGGACAGAGAAATGAGAATAAGTGGCACGTGGGGGCATCGCAGGAAGCAGGCAGGACCCAAATGCAGTACTGGAGAGACTTTCTGGTGCAAGTAGTTTATTTACAAGTGCAAGGCCAAAACAACAAAAGAACTCACTTCTTCACAAGACCAGGAAGAAGGCATAAACCAGACAAGGAATGAACTACCAAGCACCGCCACCTCCGGAACCATCGGAGACCCCGAAACCACCAGTTGACTGGGTGCCACTGGCACTCGGCCCACCAGAGGCACAGACTGAGCAGGAGCCATCAGACGAGTGTCCGCAGCAACCCCGGGAACCAACAGAAGGGGGTCTGCTACGGGCCCACTGACCCTACCCCCCCTTTAAGGGACAGCTCCTGACGTTCCAACATAGGGGCTGGGAGGGTGGGAAAAACAGGTCCCACAGATGGAGAGGCTGCTGCAGGGAACGCTAAGCCGTGGTCAGGTTGCAGAGCGCTCAACTGTGCCTTCACCCTCTCCTATTCTAGCTGCATGGCACCAAAATCCGCCAGGAGAGCCTCCCAGTACGCTGGGTCCAGTCTTGGTTGGATCATTCTGTCACGTGCGGGCATCGCAGGGAGCAGGCAGGACCCAAATGCAGTACTGGAGAGACTCTTTCTGGTGCAGGTAGTTTATTTACAAGTGCAAGGCCAAAACAACAAAATAACTCACTTCTTCACAAGACCAGGAACAAGGCATAAACCAGTCAAGGAATGAACTACCAAGTACAAACTAAGAACTCGAAGGACACACTAAGCTGAGCACAGGAACAGATACAATGATCCAACCAGGCCAGAGTGAGGGAGAGGGGTATATATACACAGGGAGCACCAGGTGACACAAGTGAAGCTAATTACAGACAGGTGAGTGTGATCCCACAGATTACCCCACAAAGCAGACAACAGGAAAAGGAAACAGACAGACATGACAATAAGGCTGGGCAGGGAGCGCTATTGCATGCGCCTGTTTAAACTGTCTGCTGAGTTTGGAAATGGAAAGGGCGAGATCAGTCACGTTAGCATACATCACTTGCAATCAGTGCTGATTCATTGCCAATGGAGTCGTCAACGTACACCCAGCCTTAGACACTCACGGGGCGAAGACAAAACAGAACAAAAACATAATTAAACACAATTTTAACTAAAAATTAATTTCAATCGTGGCGCTTTGGCCCAGAGACCAATGTCTCTGTCTTTGGTGTAGAACCTCAGGATTCACCTCCTGGGCAAGTTCGAATCCCAGTTAGGGTGGTTGGTACCTTCCAGTGGACTCACCACCTGCAGGAAGGTTCAGGGGGGGTTGGTACGGTGCAGTGTGATTTGGGTGGCGGTCATGGAGACTGCTGCCCCCATGACCCGGTAACGGATAAGTGGATGAAAATGGATGGATGGATGGATGGATGGAATTAATTTCAATCACGTATATTGTCTATTATCATTTAAATAACACATAGCTAGTGACTTTCTGTGCTCATAATTGTGATACTTTTTATTGCTCAAAAGGGAACGAATGTGTAGAAATTTCCGCTAGTAACGATGAAGTTACATGTTGTAGACTAATACCCCCTGACCCTATCTATTGTGTTTTAGATAGCAATCTGGTAAACACCAAAAAATCATCTTGTATTCTACAGGTTACATTAGAAAAAAATAAATGATGAAAAACATTACGATCCAACATGGCTTACTTGGAAGAGACCACCTGCCTCTGAAAGAAAATGGCCAATCAAATCCAAATAAAAACTTTCCCACCTTGTGGACAGACGTAGATAAAAGGAATGTGAAAAGTCAAGGCATTAGTCTGACAACAGGTCCAGGGGGAATCAGGCCAAAGAACGAGGACAAGGACAAGGCAGTAGAGCTGCAAACAACATTCAGCAGGTTAGGTTGATAAAGGACAAAAGATTACGCACTAGTAACTGTTTACTACTATGCACTAAATTTTGTAAAATTAGAAATAAGAATAGTTTCCCATAACTAATAATGAATGCTAACACATTTTTTTTTGCAAAAAGATTTTAATGTTCATGAACATTTCTATAACCATTCTCAACACTGTACCTCACAAAGACATCAAAACACATCAAAATGAAAAAGAGCTTTTTTTTCCACATTAGATCAAATAAACCAAAAATCGTTTCCATATTAACACAAAATGAAACCTGCCTCATTTCCTCTTTCTCTCAGTGTCCTAACCCTCATTATTGCACGACTTCAAACATCCGCAGCACTTTCCTACTTCCTTTCCTCCTCAGTCACATGATCTGTCAACAAGTTCTATCCAGTACTCTCAAAGCAACAGAGTTGTCCAGTAACATCATTCCACACCAGGCTCTGCAACGCCAACCATTCAGGGAAGAGTCTTTGCACTATTGCTGACGTGACAAAAACTCACCTACGTGATTACTGCACATTAAAACATCAACCTGTTAAATATGCTACTGTGTGTCCAAAAGTTCTGCAGAATCACACATTATTTCATTCACACTGGTATATACATATTGTTTGGATAGATTGCATATTGCTACTAAACATTACTACTAAACCCATTTGTTTAGATTGCAGTGCAGCATCTATTGAAAATTGCACATGAAAAAAAAAACACATAACAAAACAAAAGAGAACAACAGTTAATTATCATATTCATGACACAAAAAAGTTGGACTGTCCAGCAGGTCCACAGCGAGTGAACAATAATGTACAAAATACGATAACTGTAACATGTGATAACACTTAAATCAAGGTTTTTCTTTTTTATCTTTGTTTCCAAACCTTTTCTGAGCAATAGTACGGCGATTTTACATTATAAAAGATCTCTTGGCACAGGCACCAAAAGACAAATGTCACAAAAATGATATGAAATGAATTTACTCAATGTGAAACGTGTGCCTTTTTAGTTGAACAGAACCCTGATATACTCGCAGGAATTGAAGAAAAACTTGTGTCTAGGGATCTCAGGTAATATAGGACGACCAATATTATTGGCCCGATATTATCACAATTATGTAATAACGGTAAGAATCTTTATCGGCTTTTCCCCGGATAATAAAAACCAAATAATTCAATATTCAGGTTTCGCCATATATGCTGGAATCACTTTAAAAATGTATTTTGTACAGACAATGTTAACTTGTGGAATGCCTTTAATGGGGCATCACAATAAGAGTAGGTAATGTGTTAATTCCACGTCAGGAGATATGTGATGTGACCTACAAATAGTTTTGAGGGGTATACAGCTGCATAGATCGGTATTGGCTGATCTCGGAATCAGAAATTGAGTGTTTGGACTATATTTACATATCGGATATTGACAAAAAAAAGTTAATATCAGACATTTCTACAATTGACCCCATTTTGACTCTATTTTCCGGAGACCCTAGAGCCATTACTTTCAAATTATAGGCTATTCATTTTCATTATTATTTTATTATTATTATTTTATTTCATGGAAGTGCAAAAATACAGTTGTTTTAAGATTGTGTGGTGTGTTTCTGATTATAATTTTAAAAAGAATAATAATTGGATAAAAAATCGTTTTTATCAGTAATTAAGGTTTTTATCCCAGGGTTGAGAAACACTGCGTGATGGCTGTATTTTCTTAAAACACTTTTGATACAAGTGGGTTCCTACCATCGTAATTGCATCTATCGCAAGTGTAAAAAAGCAATTAATTCATTAAATTTTTTACACCCTCTTGTTGACTAGTTTTATTTTTAGAACATACTCCACGGGCACCTTTGATAGTCCACGAGGGCTACATGGAGCCCCCGGCCCCTATGTTGGTGACCCCTGCTCTAGTGCATGGATTACGTTTTTGACACTATCAATCTTCATAGTCCAAACCTTTTCTGAGCAATAGTACGGAGATTTTACATTATAAAAGATTAAAAAATTGAAATTGTAGCTGTGTGCCACAGCAAAATAAACTCTAAAAATTATTTTGAGTTTTGTCTAGAAAATAATCAAGCATTCAAAAGTTGTAGCTGTGTGCCACAGCAAAATAAACAAAAAATGAGTTTGAGTTTTGTCTAGAAAACAAGCATTCAAAAGCTTTTATGGTACCGTTTCTTAATCTGGAAATATTGCTCACCCGTGCAAAAAAAAAAAAAAATCCAAATTTAGCTAAGTGGACAAAGAAGGACCTGTTTATCTTTTTTTGATTTACACAGAATGGTTTTGGATGGATTCTGGTGTTATCTTGTTGCAGTTACGTTTTCATCGAAGCTGGTTCTCAGTACCAGTGCACCTGTAGTTTTATTCCAAATCTCTGGAATAAGAGACAACCACTAGACAACCACTGAACTTGAACACATTATATAGGAAGAAGTGAAACAGGGTGGAAGGTTTTCTCTGGATAGAAGAGACCAGAGTGGAGCTTCTTCAACCAAGAGTTCATCACTGAAGGAAAGAAAGAAAACAGAAAGAAAATCATTTTTAGTTATTTCACTTCAACATTACTTAACACATACTAGTCATTTAAACATAATAAGGGACAGATAATAAAGTAACACTTATGTCTCTAATGTAAAGGTTCCCAACCTCTGGGGCAAGGACCAGTAGTAAGTCATGGGTAATTTGATTCTGGGTCTTTTGGGGGAAAAAAATGACATGATCTGACACAGTGTGTGCAAATAACGTTAGTCAACAGTTGATTTTGGTTAATATTCAATGAAGCTTTATTTCCATTTAATACCATATACAAACAACTTTTTCACCACTCAGAAATTGACAACATATATTCAAATACAAAAACATTATTTATCTCGTGAATATATATTTTTTACAGTCAGCAAAGTCAGGGAAAAATGGATTTGACATTTACACAGATATTTTCATTTTAAAACACCATACACTGTATTGATTTCAGTTTGAAGATTGATCAGTTTCTGCAAAGGATTAAAAATGAGAAGAAAAAAAAATCAATATTTCTTATTACAGATATACAGTATCACACATTGTAGACGTCAATGTTGTACTTGTTAACTTGTTGACAATCAGTTATACTGATGATTTAAATGCACTCACTATATATATATATACATATACATATATATAGATACATACATATATATGCAATTCACTCTCATATATAAATACATACACATATGTATATATGTTTTTACACATATATACATATATTCTAATGTAAAATAACGTGGCATTATGCAGATACAGTTTAATTGTAAATGTAATATAAAATATATAAGAAATCATATGGAATTATGTGGATAAAATACATAACAATATAATATCTACTCAGAAATATGCAATTTAGTAATACTAAAGATTTTATTTTGTTTGAAACAGTTTCAAAACTCTACGACATAAAATGTCAGAACCGTCAGATGACTATATAGTCAATTTCATGTTGACTTTTGCCGGTAATATCCTCAGTGGTGTCTGACAGCTGTTGTCAAAGAAAGGATACAGCTTCTCTGTGAACGTTTGTACGAAGGTATAAATGGTTGTGTTTGTGTCCAGGTTGATGAATTTCAGCTTTCCTCCCTCCCAGTCCAGGTGAACTCTCACCTTCCTAATTGGTCTCGTCAATGTCAGAAGTTCCTCTATATGTGGTGGACAACTTGCTCTATACAGACCGTCCTTCAACCATAATTCCCAGTAACCAGTTAGCCGCTCTGCCTTCCTATCGACAGAATCTTTTATCAACCCAACTGACCATCCTCTATCATTTCCAACCTCAACGTCCCAATAGTGAATCCCAGAGTTAAAGCTTTCAGATCCAAGACATAGGATGTAATTTTTAAACCTTTCTGGGTTTTCTGGAAGATGACTAATGTTATTAGTGTATGTTAAACTTGTCAGATCCTTGCTAACAACTTGTACCGTTGTGTTTGGGTCTAGAATCACAGGACTATAAGTGACCATGTCCTTCATCTTTTGCCATACCTTGTCGGTGAGGTTGCCCACGTGTTCTGTCATATTGATCAACGTACCAGGTGTCAGCATTGGACATTTCAGCAAAGGTTGTTTGTTAAGTCTTTCTGATGCAGCCCGGTATTTGTTGAGGAATTCCACATCTGTGGCTCTCAGTTCCTCTTCTGTGGCTTCGACTATGTCTTTTAGACGTTTTATCTCCCTGCTCAGAGTCTCAACAGTCCTCTTCATCGCGCTGCTCTTTTGTTCCGCCTCAGCTCTCACGGCGGCGATTCTCGATTCTTCTTCTCGTTGTAGAAAACACCGGAGCTTTTGAAACTCTTCCTTAATCGACTCCTCTGTATTTTGTCCCTGCATTTTAATGTGTTCGGCTGTGAGATTCCATTTAACTTCAGCCTCACTCAGAAGATCGAGATTTTGTTGCAAAGACTTCAAGGACTTCCTGAGACTGTCCCTGTAATCCTCCGCACATTCATCGATGGGTTTGAAGCTGTGGTTGAAGTGTGCTTTGGACTCACGACAGACGACACACACCGGTTGCTGATGGTCCAAACAGTAGAGCCTCAGTTTCTCCGAGTGCAGGTTGCAGAGAGCCTCCGATCCCGCAGAGGTGTCCTCACTCACAGAAAGTTCTCCTGACAAGGCTTCACAGAGGTTTTTCAAAACCAAGTTACTTGCCGGAACACCACTCGGATTTTGATTACACACTGGACAAGTGCAAACCACTTTGTCCGCCCACCAACTGTCCAGACATTTTTTACAGAAACTGTGGCTGCACGACAGCAACACAGGATCTTTGAAAATCTCAAAACACACCGGACAAGAGAGATCGTTGGTGAATCGATGAGCCATTCTCTGCCAAATGTACAACAGAAGAGAGAACAATCAGCACAGCTGTAGCACGAGATACTAAACCAGTCTAGTAAAAGTTGTTCACTCAAATCGCTCTATGCTCATCTCTTCAGTGAAGAACAGTCTGTTCTAGGCACACGGGAGGAAAAATCGGATTTTAAACAAAGAGAACTGGTTTGTCAACAGTGACTAGGCATGACATGCAAATGCCATTCCATATGTGTGGTGTCACTAACAAACCAGTCAAACGTCTAGAGGTCTGATTTCCCAGAACTTGCAGCGCAGTAGTTTTACAGTAAACTGAAACCAAAAGTACTTCATATTTTTAAATATTTGTGCTAACTTGACAACTTGACAAAGACAAGTAAGACTCCTTCCTGCCACCAACATGGAGGGTGATGTCTTCGACAACGAGTGGAAGTGGTACAACTCAGTCTGTTCTACGGTCTACTCTGTTGACAGAACTTGGTGACCCTCGAAACAGCTTTCCATAGTTTTGTTCTGCCTCTGTGATTACGTGTTCCTGCGTCTTATCAGGACTCACCCCTTACATTTATCTACCTCTTGAGATCACCTCCTAGCCCCTTGCCTTCGATCATTCTGATAAGCCCTTGCGTTTGTTACCCTCCACGATCTCTTGGCATGTTATGTTCATTTTTGTAACCCATGTGTATTGAGCCTTACCCCACTTTCTGGATTGTCCATTGTATCCTGTCTTAGCTGGTCTGCCGGTACTGCCCCCTTCTGTTAAAGAGTCAAACCTTTCCGATACAAAGGTGGGCTAAATGTTGCTTACGTCTGCCAACTTTTGTCTCTTTTAGCCCCACATTCCCTTTCCCCACCTGACCTGAGTGGGGTCAAACACTGACTCGCAGCGGTCAGGGGTCCATTTCTAGAAGCAGGCTCACGAAACTCCGAGTTAAAATCACAGAGGTCCAACCCTGACTTTCCTGTTTCACAAAAACGGATTACAGTTAGCTCCCGGAGGTCCGAGTTGAGTTAAGATGGAGTGGCACTCGTGCCCGACTACATATGAAGTCTCCCTCAATTGAGCGCAGATAACACGAACCATGTCTTGTCCCGCACCTTTTGCTTCACTCCGGTGGAGCGAGAAATACCGTTGCCTGCCTATAACGATTACGACACGCTGTAAAATGAAAAAATAAATTGCGTCACAGCCGCAGAAGACAGGGAAAGGGGTGGCAACAAATTACTCTACAGATAGAACGTTATTCATTCTCGTTAATTGGAGAACTGGAGAACTGTTCAGAGATATATTGTAACCCATATATCTCTGAATATGTAATATTCATAGCGATATATACAAATATCTCTGAAATTGTAATAATTTTCTCTCGCTGTGCACACACACCTGCCCGTTTTCAATTTTAATCTAGATTTAACCCAACAGGGATAAAAAGGACTTGGCAGCAAATTAAGACCAAATACAAAATATAATACAAAATATAGCACAAACAGGGAAGAAGAAGAATGAAATTCTGCACCCTATTGGAGATAATAGATCAGTGTGATCAAAAAGTGATCACACTGATCACTGATCAAAAGTGTGGGCTGATAATCTAATTCATTTATATAATAGATTGTGAAGAAACACTATAACAAAAAACTTTTGGGGAGTGCTAAAATATCTAGTCGTGGTCTCGCCAGGATTCTTTCCTGGCATCAATTTCTTCTAAGCAACTGAGCTGCGATGTCCACAACTTCAGACTTAAGGACCTTAAACCTGCTACGGAGCAGGTTTGCTCCACATTGTATGTAGCCATAGCTAGGGCCTAGCCAGCGTCGTCAAGAAACGGGCATGACCATAGATTAGGAAGCATGAACACGGAACACACAATGATGCCAGCAAGACACAGTGAGGGAGAGAGGTACTGTATATGTACCCAGGACACCAGGTGACACCAGTAAGTCTGTATGTAGCTTCTCTGCGAGTATATTCTTTGTTCGACGTGAAGAAAACTCGACCAGAAATATATAAACGATCTGTTAGTCGCATCAGCGACTAGCAGACGTTGACTTTCATTACCTGAGATTGGACTTCAAGTTTAGCAATTCGTAACATAAATATATTTCTATAAATATATATGTTTATACATATATTTATAAATATATGTATAAACATATATATTTATAGAAATATATTTATGTTACGAATTGCTAAACTTGAAGTCCAATCTCAGGTAATGAAAGTCAACGTCTGCTAGTCGCTGATGCGACTAACAGATCGTTTATATATTTCTGTATATATGTGTATTTGTATTCAACATAAACATACGGCTTAAAAAAGTTACCATCCACGGCAGGTAACTCAGTCACAGTTTGTTTTGGATCGGTGAGTAAAAACAAAAGCACATCGATGTCCCCACGTGTCTGCCGCTAGGATGTGTTTCTCTATCTATCTAAAATATGAAGATTGTACGTTGTAAAGTGCTATCTTACGACAGTTGGCGATCGGGCCGCGCTCCCTTTGACACGCTTGAAAACACATGGTAACACAGGTATGCCATTCGGTACACTTGGTACACCTGTGTATTTGTACCAAACATCCTGAACCGAACGATTCTGTGCCACCGCGCTGCCCCCTACAGCCCTGATGAACACGGTCAGGTTGGTTCTATTAAAAGAACATGGTTAAGCACCTCACACCAGTTGACACGTGGATTAAAATGAACATCCATCAATTGAAATTTCCCAGTGTCACCTACAGTGTCACCCAGCTGTCAGCTCTGCCGCCCATTTACTTTATAAACACAACCGAGCACTGCAGTGAGAAGGGGAACTCCGAAACGTTCAACTGAGGCCGCCTGTTGCCGTGCTGTGTTTATGTAAATGCTGATCAGAGGCTACATGAACCTGGCCTCTTCACTCCGTCTAAAAAAAGGTCGGCTTGACCCCGCTGGGACTCTGACCTGCCAGGCAGCCCGTCGATGTCCAGAAGCAGCTGAAGCTACACACACGCGCATGACCCACACCTGCTGCTGCTTAACTTTTCACCGTGTCACACACGCGTTTTCTGCTGCTGCTTAACTTTTCACCGTGTCCACCGATTTACACACGCACGCACACACGGTCACAACATCTCATCCATAAAAAAAAAAGTTTATACCAATGTAATCCTCTTAATCGGGAACCAGATAACAGGACACACCAGTGACCTTTGACCACTGCTATAAATAAGTTGCCTTTTCAGATATAAGCCTCCTTTATTGTCTCACCGAATTTCACACCAAAAGTCACATGACATTACAGGCGCACTGTAGAGGCCTTTCCCTCTTTGAAGATGAAGATGAAAATCAAGAAAATACAAAGTAGAAAACAAAAACCATGACAACAGAGAGGAAGAAGGAGATGACAACTAAGAGGAAGACGAAAAGTAGACAGAGACAACAACGACCAAAAAGAAGAAAAACGAGATGGAGAAGACAAAGACGATGAAACAGAACAACAAAAACAGACATTACAACAAGGTAGACAACTGAGAAGTAATCCATGATCGGAAGTACAAGTAGTAAAAAATATAGCAGTAAAAAGAAGTACAGTAGAAGGGGTCAAGGAACTAGTAAAAGAAAACGTAGAAGTAGAAAGAGTAAAAAATATACTAGTAGAAGAAGTAAAACAAGTAGTAGAAGAAGATAGAAGATGTAGAAGTGGGCCACAATTGTCCTTAAAATTGAACAGGGGGGCCGGGTCAGGGTCATTTTCTACGCCATCTATTGGGGAAATGTCCGTATTGCAGGTAAAAGGCAGAAGTATAATGATAATATAAAAAATATATATATAATTTGGAAAAATTTGGCGGGCCAGATGAAAAACCTGAACGGGCCACGTCCAGCCCCCGGGTCTTAGTTTGCCCATGGCTGATGTAGAAGGAGACCCATCCATAAGTGTACCATACAAGTGACTAATTGCTTTAACACACCTCTAGAGAGTAATGTTACATCAAAAATCAGTGTCTAATTTCTATAGGTTTCTAATAGGTATAGGTCAAATTTGTTGCTTTTAAATATTGTTTAGTTAAAAAAAAAACCTGTATAAAAAAAAAACAATGGACAAAATACAACACTGAATGTTGACAGTGATAATAGTTCATTTGTTCATCAATCTGGATAAAACCTTGGACCAGAAAAAAAAAGAAAAAAAAAAAAGAATCTGAATTGCTTGTGTTTTACTTGTCATACCAAGATGCATTTTAAATAACATTTATTTATTTATTTAACTCCTAAAATGGATATTTCCAGCACAGAAAGTAAATAAAATTAAAAATCAGTTTTTCCACTGTCCAAAAAAAGCATTAAAAATTAAAATCTATCTGACCTTCTAACACCCTGCAATGTCTGCCCCCTACTTTGGGAACCACTTATTATTATTATTATTATTGTTATTATTATTATTATTATTATTATTATTATTAGTTCATCACTGTAAACCCCACATGGTAGCAGGTGAAATTAGCTCTTGTTGATTCATTAATATGCCAAAAAAATAAATAAATGAATCCACAGCAGAAGGCTCAGTAAGCATGGCATCGGCACGGTAAGAGTAAATGTCCGCTCCAAGAATGCGTGACTAAGTATTTGTACTATATGCTGCGAGTAGGGGTCACTGAAATGTGCAATGAATGCAGGATCAGTTCCACATGTATGGGCAACAGACCAATGCAGACACATAAGCCGGTGTGAATGGTCCCTCGGACATGTGTACGTGAGAAGTATTTCTGTTCTGTTGACGTGGAGAGTGATGCGTTTGAAAAGAGATTTATTTCTTTTATTGTTCATAATGTTTAGGTAGTAATTCATTCTGTACACCAGGGGGGCTCAAACTCCTGGCCTGTGGGCCGCATTTGGCCCTTGGACCACTCACATCTACCCTAAAACTGAATCTCATACTAATGTAATCTAGCCCTTGTTGTTATTTTTATCTCATACTAATGTAATCTAGCCCTTGCTGTTTTTTTTTTTGGTGATAACTCGCTTTAGAGCAGTGGTTCTCGACTATTTTCTGTCATGCCCCCAGAACAGAACCTGATAACATGTATATTTTTATCTGTACAAACCACTGTATGAGTTGCTGCCACCTAGTGACTGGAGGCTTGTTATCATGCAAGCATTACAGCAGTGGTACACTTATGTCCAGCGTGCCATATTCCACTGGAAGCCCGTCACCGCGCCGTGCCATATTCCACTGGAAGCCCCTCACCACGCCGCCTGCCCCACTATTTGAGAAGACTAACAGGCTGTTTTTGTTGCAGCAACATTGTCAGATGTTTGTAGCTACGAGCTGACAAGTCGCTAGCTGTGAGCTCCTGTACGTCTGTGAAGTCTTACCTCGTGTGCAGAGACAGGGAAGGACTCACTCGAACGGCTGCTGTTCATCTGTGCTCCACCACAAAGCTCATGGTGGTTCCATCAAAGGAAGGTGGAGCGATGATCCTCGGCCCCTGCTGGGACGTGATGCTGATGACTGGCTGCTTGAATCCCTGCAGCTGCCTGCCCGGGGCGGCCTGTTGTTGAGCGGCGGAGGCCTCCTGATGAGACCTTCCGGTGGACATGTAAAAGGGACTCTCCATGTACGCGCCCTCGCTCTGCCGTGACGACGCCTTGTGCTCACTCTCCACCTCCGACTGCATCGCCACCTGCGGCTGCACCAGTGTCCGGGCGGGTATCAACGGGGTTGTGGGCATGAAGCCCGGGTAAATCATGTAGGTTTGTCCATACGCTCCAGAACCGAGAGCCAAAGGTGAGATTGACATGGGCATAGGGGTCATGGGAGGCTGGGGCATGGGCACGTCCACGTATTGTCCCGTCTCCGGATCGAAGAGACGCTTGGTGGCCGGCTGTACCGGAGTGTCCACCAGGTAGTAGTTTCCCGTGGTGGGATCCAGGAGCATTCTTCTCTGCGTGACCTGAAATGGGTCGATGGTGGGTGCAGGTGTGATCGCTGGGGAGAAGCAGTACACCTGTGGCTGATTGGCCGTCATGCCCAATGGCACGGAGTGGTAGATGGTAGCGGGAGGGATCTCTGGGGGGCTGGGCTGGGTTTCCATCACGATGCTACAGCGTTTGGGCCCCTGGATGTTGTCTTCCTGAGCCTTGGCGTTGGACAGCGCCCGTCCTGGTGGAGTAGTTGGTCGCGACTGCGTGGAGGACGTAAACACGGAGGACTTGTCGGCAGACGGAGGATGTTTGCCACTGCTTGTGTGGGACTTGACTGGAATTGTCAGATAGTTCTCATTGTCCTGGAAAGATCTATCCGCCTCCTTGAGATCCGCGCCATCGTTCCGGATCACCCTTGGGTGGCTGATTTTCAACGACATGGGCAATTTGGGTGATTTCGGAAGAAACGTTTTGGTGCTGAGAGGAGTGTGGGTGACGGCGCTGGGCTGCGTCACCTTGGTGGCTGTGGCTGACGTCTTAAGGCTGGAGCTCAGGCTGAAGACATTTTTGCAGCCGGACGTTTGCATCTTAGTAAAGAGTCGGTCATCGCAACCACCGGATGTCTGAAAGTCCCTGAGAACGTCCTCCCTCCTGAGCAGGTTCTCACCACTAGGTGGCGATGTCCCCGGTGCTGCCGACGCTGCCGGTGGCATCTTGTCAGAATAGGAGCGTTGTCTGAAGGCCTTGTCCGTGTTGTGGAACACTCTGGCTCTGTCGTCGTCGTCAGGTGCCATGTTCACCTCATTGGCTAAGAGTGACAGAACGTGGCTGTCTGTCAGCAGCTGGGGCTCGTTCTTTCGTTTCCATTCATTTTTCTCAAACACATACAGCTGCTCCATCGTCTTCACAGCCGCCTGGATTTTCTCCAAGGCCACTTGGTTCACCAGACTGGGTTCACTCTTCTTGTCTGCAGCATTATTTGAAACTAGCCTACTCTCGATTTTCGATCCCACGCTGATATCCGTGCTATTATTTACCGTTGCTCTCCCTGCTGTCCATTCCAGCGAGACGTTTTTGGCTCCCTCTGGCGACAACCTGTCCACTTCCAGCGTTTCGCTTTTGGGTGAATCGAAATTGCCACATTGCTTTGCATTGCTGTTAGTGTTTACAGACTGGCATTTAATCACTATGGGCGAAACAGAATTGGGATTTCGCGTCGACATTTGCTTCTTCTGCTCAGCGTGACCCTCGCAGCTCGGTTTCACGTCGTTGTTATCCAGAGAAACGAAGTGATAGGAGCTTTTGACCAGTTTACGCACGTCTCTCACTTGGTGAATCGGCGTCTGCAGTTTGCCTTTGTTATCCCTGATGTCCCTGACCATAAACTGCGGCACTTTGTCAGAGGACTCGCCCTTCAGAGCTGCGGCCAGCGCCTGGCTTTTGCAGTCGACGTTGCAGCCTATATTTGGAGCGCGCAGCTTGGAGACGCCAAACGGCTCGGCCTTTTTGTCTCTGACGCACCTCAAATTGATTTTAATCTCCGGAGATTTGGACGTCGCGACGCACCTCGAGTCCGCGACGTACAGAGCGTTGACGGGACGCACTTTGAGGTCTCCTTCGTCGCCGCATGCCGACGAATCTCTGTCCTGCAGCTGTTCCTCTTCTCCGTCACTGTGCTGCAGTTGGATACTTGGCACAAACAAATGCGACATTTTCGTGGCTTTGCCGCTGTCCGCCGCGCACTCACGATCCCCCTGTGCCGCTGTGTCACCAGCCGACGGCGTCTTGTCCTGCTGGGTTTTATCGCTTTTACGATCCTTCTGAAACTCTAGCTCGTCTTCCCTCCAGCATCTGAAGGCGCTATTCTGGCTGCGGAGCAGCGTGCTTTTGGACGCTTCCAATGCGCCTTTTTTAGCATCAATTCCTGCCTCGTTCGCCGGCGGCTCCAAATTAGTGTCTGGTGCGCGAGCGGCCGCAGGCTCGCGCCCCCCCGGGGCACAGGGGGCGCTGTCCACAATGTCCCCCAGTTCATCCACACACATTATGGCGTAGTCAGAGCTGCTCTCTGAAAACCTGGAGCTCTGCCTGTGCAGCTCCGCGCTGCTGCTGCTGCCGCTGCTGCAGCCGCCCTTACTCCCCCTGCAGCCGTCGCTCTCCTGGTGCGTAAAGCACGGAGGGGGCGGCTCGCGGATCTCCCCCCTCTCCATCTTGCGCTCCTTCTCAAACTGCATCTTTTTCGAAATGACATTTTGGATGAGACTGGAGGCAAAGATCGCCTTTTTGTGTGCGTCCTCCATGGCTGCAGAGGGCGGCTTGCTGGCCGCTCGTCTCTGCGCGCTTGACAAACTGTTGGTAACTTCATCTGCGGAACGTGATCCCGCAGCGATTTGCGCGAAGTTCGTGCGTCTTTCCCCGCCAGACATTCCTGATTGGACATTGCACCTAAAATTCAGAGTCTCCGTCAGTGTAATCACGCCACTGTGGCTCTGGCTGAATTTGCCCATCAGCTCTATTTTCTTCGACGATGACGCGCCGCGAGGGTCCCCGCTCAGGGTGAATACGTTTCCGCCGGGGATGTCGGATGCCTTTATGACATCCTGGCGTGGAATCACGCTTTGGTCCAGTCCCTGCGCCACGTTCACGTTGCCATATTTCAGGTCGAATAACGTGGACCACCTGTTGATGCCGCGCTCTGACTGAGAGGACTCGCTGGAGGTGCTGAAGCTGATGGCATCCAAGTAAGGATAGGCCAGACTCTTGAAGGCTTTGGCTGTCAGACTGCGCACCTCCTTGTCTGCGTCGTCCAGCTCGCTGGACGCGCAACTGGAGTAGCCGGTGACCTCCTTGCCTCTCAGTTTGCCCCCAAAGTGAAGGCGTCCGGGTGCGGCGACCAAACAATGCGCCCCGTCACCCTGCGTCCCTGCCTTCCCATCAACTCCACTTGTGTCTGCGGAGCGTGTGGCATGATACAGAATATTTCCCTGCTCTTGGATGCTGCCCGTGTCATTTATAGCGCGAGAAGTGGCCGTGATTGACAGGTGGATCTGTCCCCCACCATTGCTCTGCTGCTGCTGCTCCGGCTGCTCCTGCTGCTGTTGCTGCTGCTGAGCCTGTGACACGCTCCCATCTGAGCTGTTCGTTTTGGCCACATCGCGCAGATCACTTTCCAGCAGAGTGCTGACCGCTGCTGCGCCCTCGCGCCGCACGGCATCCCCCCCGCGCCACTCCAATATCCCATGGTCATCGTCCGACGGCGCGTAATCCACGAAGGTGTACACCCGATTGTCATCCTCCAAGTCCCAGCCGGTGGAGGAGGAGGAGTCGGCCCCGGCCTCATAGTCGCCCTCTTGGTCCGACAGCTCGCTTAGCAGGATCTCGTGCGTCGTAATGTAATGGGACTCGTCTTCCGTCGCGCACGGCGCGCTGCCATCACTTGAATGCACCAAACGGACCCCTTCCTCCTCCTCCTCCTCTTCCTGCTCCTCTTCCTCCTGCTCCTCGTAGTCATCAGACTCACCTCTCCAGCTCAGATAATGACCACCGCTGTTTGATTCTTCTCCAGGTTGTGTTTTCTTCTTCTTCTCTGGTCGCGTAAAGGCGATGTCGCGTTTGTTGGTGGCTTTGAAACAACAGCCCTCCAACTGGGAGATAATAGAAGGAGGAACTGCTGAGAAATCAGTGGGACCCACCTCTACGGCACCGGAGCTTTTCTCACCCACAGGATCCTTCCTCGCCTTAGTTTCAGTCTCACTTTTAATCGCCAAGTCCCGGGTTTGTGCCGTTACGCACGGCGCTCCGGCACCGCTCTGGCCAAGCGTCGCCCCAAATCGACCTCCTTTCCCCGCAGCTCTTTTAGCGTCGAGTGTCTCCCAATCCACGTATTTACTTTCGTCCCGTTTCTCTTTGAAATCCTTGCCCCGTGACGGCTTTATAATCAGGTCCTTGAGGCGTTGGAGAGCCAACGCCGGTATCTCCACACAGCTCGGCCCGTCGTCCATGACTGGAGAAGCCGCTTCAAAGTATATACTCGTAGTCAGACGACAAGGAAGCGGTAGAGATGGAGGAGCCCGCCACCCCTCCTCTACCTCACCTCACCCGGGTCCCTCTGTCCCCCAGGGCAGGGATGGCACTGGCGCACAGCTCAGTGTCCGCAGTCTCTCTGATGACACGATCCAGACATTCCAGCTCAGCGCCACTTGAAGCCTGATGCTGAGTGTCTAAAACGGTGCAGTTACATTACTGACGACACGTTTGGGACACGTGGTTCGCAAGATAGGGGTTGGGGACCAATAGATGGCGTTAATAGATGCCCCAACCCCTGGTCCGCAGTCCGGTACTGGTCCACAGATAATTCGCTAGCGGCCCATAGTGGGACACAATGAAAAAAAAAGTATTTTATTTTTGTAACAATGAAAAAAAAAGTATTTTATTTTTATACATTCAGAGAGAATCCACTCACTATTTACTCTCTTCATTTCATTTCTTGCCTTACCTCTGTCCCTAGTGGTATAAAGCACAAATGACAGCATTCATGCTTCTTTAAATGAGGCGACATTTCGTTGTTTAAAATTACCAGAGGACTAATGTTGGTTAAAAAAAATAGAATTTCATTAAAAAGGTCTTGGAGTAGCGCTTCACATCTGTAAAGACATTGATGCAGCTACACAAATATAACATGGCGGAAAGAAGCTTGTCATCTGTTCCTAAGGCAGAACATTAACCACTATTAACCCCAACCATAATGGTGCTTAACAGTGGTCCCTAACCTTTTTTGGCTTGTGACCCCATTTTGACATCCCAAATTTTTTGGTGACCCCAGAGACATTTTTTGATTGGAGCAGCCAATCAGGATGCGCCAACTCAGATACTTTTATATGCTTTTTTAAAAAAAACAAACAAAAAAAACAAACTTGATTTGATATACATGAAAGTGAAAGTATATGGTTATTTTAACCCTTTCATGCATGACGGTCACTACAGTGGACAGCTATTAAAATGTCATTTTTTATGATAAGAATAGGTTTTGATGGCAGTGTTGGATATAAGCCTCTACAGTGGATTCTCAGGCGTCCACTGTAGTGACCGTCATGCATGAAAGGGTTAAGATCATGTGAAGACATTTCAGGCAATCCCATTTGAATTCCGAGTGACCCCACGTTGCCTCGTGACCCCAAGGTTGAAAAACGCTGCAGTAGGACAAAGGGAAAGACAGCAGCAGAATAGACAGTTTTCAGAATGTTACCATTAAAACCGACGAATCTTTACATTTGATTTAGCCCTCCGTTTCCCAGGGGTTGTTGTCATGGCCGGTTTTAGACTCAGAGCAAATCTATGGAATGGACGTTCGGTAGAGTGGGAGCAGATCAGTGACAGTTTGGTTATTTCTCAGAGAAACAGATGACGTCTCTGTTTCAGACATACAGCTCACTTGCTCCTCTTAAAAATACATACGCCTTGGCAGCTCCGATGCAGACACGGCATCAAAATAAGACGAGCACAGAGACCGGAGTGTGTGTCTCTGTGTGTGTCCATGGTATCTGTAACACCTCACATGGAGACAGTGTGGCAGATAAACACCAGAGTGACAACAACCCAGAGACAACTCTGGCCCGGTGCGTAGGGCACGTACTACTTTTTAAGCTTTTAGCGGGTTAGTCCCTGTCAGTGTGAGGGCCAGTCTGAGGCCAGGGGAGCCACTGGGGGGTCTTTGACAGGTGTCTGAGGGTCCAGAGTACAAATAGTCAATTAGGATTTAGTCGGTCAGATTTCTCCTTGAAGGTCCGGCAGATGACAGTGTTTACTCCGCTGTTCTGGGAGAGCATTTTACTAAATGGATCAAATCTAATTTTCCTGCATAACAGAATGATGTCAGGGTGTAAGAAAGGAAAGAAAAAGCAGCACGCAACTAAATGAGTTGGAAAATGCCTGTATTTAACTTTTTATTAATCACTGTGACCTTACAGCAACAGGCAATAATAATAATAATATTAATAATAATCAACATCATCATCATCATAATATTATTATATTTAGATATATGCAATAATATATTTACTTAACTAGACTACATCCACTAATGATATTATTAGCAGTAAAATAATACTAATACTGTATTATTATTATTATTATTATTATTATTATTATTATTATTATTATTATTATTATTATTATTATTATTATTATTATTATGATTATAGATCGATGGATGGATAGATGGATGGATGGATGAATGGATGGATGAATAGAAGGATGGATGATGGATGGATGGACGGACGGACGGATGATGGATGGATGGATGGATGGATAGATAGATAGATAGATAGATGGATGGATGGATGGATGGATAGATAGATAGATGGATGGATGGATGGATGTATGGATGGATGTTGGATGGATGGACAGACGGACGGATGATGGATGGATGGATGGATGGATGGATAGACAGACAGACAGACAGACAGATAGAAACTGTTCATGTAAACAGTATATAGTATATGACAACATGCATGCCTCAACATGAACATATAGAGACACCATCAGTGTTCCTCAGCTCCACCACTCCCAGACGGCGCTGAAGCCCAGACACTCCCAAAACATATAACGTTATGATGCTCAGTTTGAATTACAGGGCTGACAGGTGTCGCCTTGTAACAGTGTCAGGTTGAATTCCCCGAGGGGCGTAAATAACTTTCAGATGAATGAGTGTCCTTAAGCCGACATGACATTGCTCTATGATGATTTCCTGTCCTTTCCGTGCAACACAGTCGCAAAGAAAAAGATCCAGTGAAGTCTAATCAGACTTGAATATATTGGAGAGACTAGTCGAACATAAATACTAAAAATAAAACATGGCTGACCGTGAACAGACACACAAA